GTTTTCATATGAAACCTCTTTCTAAGTTGAAAGCTCTCTGTTAATTATGTTTTCTTGGTATTTTAATTGTCAAGCACTAATAAATAAATATGTGAAAACAGACCACATTTGATTGGGAATAGTAGAAGGACATTGAATACTGATTTGAATTATGAGAGTATCCTAATCTGAGTTCAGAAAGATTAAAATTCTAATGAGAATTTGTGTTAGTTACTCATTTGCACTGAATATAGATGATTTTCACAAAGGGGAATTACCTTCTCCCTGAAATAATTGATTGCATGTGTAAATGTACATTCTCTGAAAGCTTTCCCTGTCAACTAAAGCCTTTGTGAAAAATTAAAACAAATACTTGCATGAATTTTTTTCAAGCTAGGTAGTCACCTCTCCAGTTTTTTTGGGGGGGCAAGGGGGAAGTGTTTTTTTTTTTGTTTGTTTGTTTAAATATTCCTGGTAGACTAAGATTCTCTTGGTTAATGGAAAACTTCTGTAAGGATTATTCATTCATACCATATCACTCATATTTTTTTATTACTTATATTTATCTGTTTTATATACATAATTTCTGTTTATCTGTTTAGCAGTGAATGACATTTACAGTAAGTATCATAGCTTTCCATATTTGAGATCTTAAAAGGACAAGAAAAGTAAGATTTCCCTCTTTAGAAAATTAGGTTTTCAAGCAGAACTTTTTCCTAGAGTTATACACTATTTAGCCACTTTTTTTGGCTTCTGTAACCAAGGCTTGCATATCCTTATGGCATAGTGACTCAGAATGAAACTGTGAAATAAATTTGGCTTCTAATGATGACAGATGCATTCTAGTGATAGAAAAGGAATAGATAACAAATTGATATTTCCGCTCAGAAGGAACAGGGTGGAAATAACTCCATGCTGTGATGTTGATACAGTTATTTGTGAAAAGATTAGGAAGGATTTTTAAGATAGCAGAAATTTAAAATTCTCTTTGAAAGTTGAATTTATTAGTTTTTATAGTAGATATGAGCAAATTAATTTAAATAATTACATACTGGATTGAGACACTCCATACACCACTCCAACATCTTCCCCTACTTCTCCTTGTCCACTACTCCTTTATTAAATAAAATAATTTGGATTTTTATAATTTAGCAATTGGCTTGTTTTACTTCCTTGTTTCAGTTGGGACTGGAAGCAACAATTACTAGAAATTGTAAGTTTGCCCAACATATTTTCCTGACTAGAAATTTTCCAATATATTTTGCAACTATATTCAGAAATTTATCTGAAATAACCTATGAATTCTTTTTTAATACCTTCTGCTTCACTATTCTGTATTCCTGGATTTCTTATATTTTGAATCAAATACTTTATTTTTTCCCCCTTTTTATAAAATTTTTATTGTGATTTGGGTGAAAGTTTACAGAGAAAATTCACTTTGCATACAGCAGCTCACACACACTCTGCCTCATGACATTGACTGCAATTTCCCACAATGCAACAGCTTCCCTCCCACTTCCACCCCACAGTTAACCTCTTCCCTGTGTCCTTCTCTCCCATCCACTCCTGCCCCGCAAGCTGTCTCCCTGTGCATACATAGCCCTTCTATTCTCCCATGATTGATCTCTCCAAGGAGTGTATCTACCTAATGTTAATGTTCAGCTCATATGCCTGGCTTTTGTTTGGCTGGAAGCCACAGGAATGGGTTCAATTCCAGACTTGAAGGGCAACTAGAGGCCATAGTCTCAGTGGTTCCATCAGGCTCTATTAGACCAGCAAACCTAGTCCTTTTTTTTTTTTTTTT